CACCATCACCACCATCATCATCACCACCACCATCATCATCATCATCATCTACCTTTGCACAGTTCTGACCTTCAGAACATGCTTTTCTCCAATGAACTAAAAACTGGGACTTATAGTTGAAAACTGGCAGTTTTAATTCAACAGAACAAATATCATCACCAAAAAAGCCCACAGGCCTGCAGACACTGGCTGAACACTCTTCCCACCTTTCCCCTGAAAGCCGCCTCTCTTCCAGGCTTGCCAGTGACAAGGCCACCACTGCCCATCTCCCCACCTCACCCTCAGCACACAGCCTCTTCCCTGGGGTTCCCAAAGCATGAGAGCACCTTGGCTAAGCTGCTTCCTTCCAAATAATTTCCTTTTTTTTTTTTTTTTTAATTTTTTAATGTTTATTTATTTTTGACAGAGAGAGAGAGACAGCATGAGCGGGGAAGGAGCAGAGAAAGAGGGAGACAGAATCCAAAGCAGACTCCAGGCTCTGAGCTGTCAGCACAGAGTCCAACGCGGGGCTCAAACTCACAGACTGTGAGATCATGACCTGAGCCGAAGTCAGCCACTCAACTGACTGAGCCACCCAGGCGCCCCATCCAAATGATTTTCTGTCTCTGCCTCTAAGATCTTCCCCTTCTCGTGTGTATCCCCACGAGGGACCAGCAGGTGGAGGCTTCTCCGTGCCACCCCTTGTCTGGGATATCAGAAGGGGCAACTGAGAGCTGTGAGGTGGTTCTCTGAGGGCCAGGACCATACTAGGGCTTTGGTGGTCTTGCTGCAGACCACATGCCCCAAAGGCTCCACCACCAACACACACAGACCCTCCCCCAACATCCTCCAATCAAGAGACAGACCTCCATTATCATTCTGGGGATCTTCTTGGATTGTTCCCCAAACACTTCAGGGCAGCCCTCTGAGGCTCCATGTACCATATGCTATTTCTTTATGTATTTTCTTTGCCTCGTTAACAAATACTTCTTTCTGGACTCAGGCCAGTCCTGTTAAACCTTCATGCCCAAACAGCATTGGCCCCTCCCCAAGTGCTGGGTGGGGCTTGGGACCAGCTAAAGGCCCCAAGCATCTGTGGGTGTTGTGTCAAACCAGCCCCATCTTGCCTAATCATCTGCAGAAGCTTGCTGATGAAAACCTTGTGACAGAAGGGGAGAGAGACTTGTCTTAGAGTTGGCTGTACCAACAGCACCAGGGTGCAGCTAAAGAGCACTCACTCACTTTGCTGCTTCCTTAAGAGCCTGCCAGCAGCCCCACCAGCCCCAATCCTCACACTCAGCCATGATAAGGAGAGGCTTCCAGGCAGTAATAAGACTTGGCCACCACAGAGTCCTTCCTGGAGCCCCCCACGTCCTGCCCAGACTCAACCGCACCTCAGCGTTTGGATCCTCCACAGACTCCCTGGTGAGTAAGTTCCCAGCTCAGCCAGGCAGGCGGCCCTTCTCTTGGGGGCTTAAGGCATAAAGAGCACTCCAAATTTCCACTTCCCAGATCATGGATGGGCAGGTGGGCAGTGTGGTGGGAAGCTATTTGATTTGGCAAAGGGAAGGTGCTCTTGGAATACCCAGATCAAGGGGCTCCTGGCTGGCTCAGTTGGTAGAGCATGCGACTCTAGATGTTGGGGTCATGAGTTTGAGCCCCATGTTGGGCCCAGAGATTACAGAAGGAAGGAATGAAGGGAAGGAGGGAGGAAGGTGGGGAGGAAGGAAGACAAAGAAACCAAGGAGCCAGGATCCAAAACTAAAACCACTAGGACACTTTTGTCCTGGTCTGAATCTTGTGTGGCCACCAACAAGTCGCTTTCCTTCTGTGGCACACAGACCACTGCAGCTGAGTTGGGGGATTCCAGATGGAGGGGTCTGTGTGTGGTTTGGCAAAGCAGCTGGCCTACTGCCCAGAGCAGTGACTGATCCGTGAGCCTTCAATGCCATAGGGGGCTCACGTTGTCTCGCAGATGGTATCACACTTCTGTGGGTGCCAAAACCGTGTTTCAAAGGAACTACTCTGCCCAGGCACACTCACAGCTGTAGTCAGAGCTGGAGTAGCCCCTCAGGTGTGGGGGTGGTAATAGTGGTCTTCAACAGCTGTGGTCGCATCCCGTAGGGTAGACAGTGTCTCAGAACAGGCTCTAGTCTGACCATCAGTTCTCACACTCACAAGCTTCAATTAATAGGAACAGTATTCGCTATTATGGGAAGTTTTATTCCCTGAAACTTTAGCCATATTTCCTCAGTCTCCCCATTTGTACAATGGGGCTCAGACTAGCAGTTCTCAGCCTCAAAGGAGAGTTCACAGGTTTTAAACGGGACCGCCACACAGCAGTATGCCTCTACCTGTCAGCCCTGGTTCCTTTTTTTCCCCTTCCTTTACAGTTTAGCATCTCCTTGCCAGTCACCCACAGGTGTCCCCAAACCCTCTACAAGGAAAATGGGCTGTTTCTTGTATGTCAACACTGGTGGAAGGGCTTGAGGAGCCAGGAACCCAGGAGCAAATCACCTACAGGTCTCACAGCCCAAGCAGCAGCCTCCCTCCAGGAAGCTGTTTGGTCTCCCTGATTTTGCTGCCCAGGTTTCAAGATTCTGCCTGGAGAAGACGGATTTGAAGGATTATGCCCTTCCCAATGCCAGCTGGTGTCCAGACATGCTGAACTTGTACCAGGAATTTCTGGAGAAGACCAAGACTGATGGCTGGATCAAACTACCCTCCTTCAAGTCCAACAGAGACCACATCCAGGGGCTCAAGCTCCCATTCGGGTTAGCAGCTACCTCAGGTAAGGGCTGGTCTGGGAGGACCCCTGGGCACACCCAGCCCACCTGGGGGTTCAGCCAATCCCTTGCCCTGCACTGACTCTCCACCCTCAGGAAGGAGATACACAAACTCCCTTCCAGTTCTCAGCTGGAAGTCCTTTCTGTGTCTGCCCCACTCCTTATACTTTCAGCCCCAGCAGGTGGCGAAAAGAAGAGTATGCTCTCTGGTCTCTAGCTCCCCACCTCCCATCCAAGAGAATATAATCAAGTGGCTACCTTTGCTCCCAGCCAAGAGCAGCCCCCCTGCCCTCCGCCTTCTTACCTGGTGTTCTTCCGTATTGTCAAGCCTTATCCCAAGTCGTTCTCTCCACCCAGTCCCCACCCTCACTGCAGGCCTTGGCATACCATCCTTGTTCTACTGGGCCCATAGCCAGTCTCCCAAAACACCCACCAGATGGATAGAACTTTCCACCTTCGTCTTTCTTCTTGTGTGTGCATGCATATGTGTGTGTCAGAGGGTGTCCCTATTTTCTTGTCTCATTCACATATGTGGTTTTCCTGCCTACTCATGAATGGGTGGTCCAGTAGACAGATGACCTTTAGGTTTATGTCACAAACAAGGCAGGGTCACCAAAATAATTTTTTTTTTTTCGAAGAACTTGGTATTCATCAAAAAAAGGATGTAGTTGTTGTCGTTGTCTTTATGGGGGGAAAAAAACCCAGAACTTTGGTAGACTTTTCTGCACTTATTTTACTTTTTGGGTTTTTGAAAGATTTTATTTTTAAGTAATCTCTACACACATATGGGGCTTGAACTCATAAGCCTGAGACCAAGAGTCACATGCTCTACCAACTGAGCCAGCCAGCACTCCTATTTGACTATGTTTAGTATTTTACTGTTTGTTATTTTGAATTATATATGAATTACATGTTACATTTTAAATTTTCAGTGTTTAAGATCTGTTAAAGTCTTAATCTGGTCCTGATCCTATCTCTACACTCAGCCAGGGAACTTCCTGACTATTCCTCCTTCCAGACTGAGGGATCCCTGAGAAGAGGGCTCTGTCTCCACTCTCAGATTGCAGAGCCTGGGTGTCCTCTGGTTCTCTCCTAGACCCTGTGCCTGAGACAGGGCTCCAGACATGGTGCTGAATGGCTGGCCCTGCATCCCAACGGGCCCCATACAATCACGAACTCCCCCTCCAGCTACAGCCCTTCCTGTCTCTCCCCAGACAAAAGCGACTGGCGCATCTTTACCAGGTGCCTCCAAGTGGAAGGACAAGGCTACGAGTATGTCATTTTTTTCCACCCGTCCAAGAAGAAGTCCATCTGTCTTTTCCAACCTGGCCCCTACCTGGAGGGGGCCCCAGGGTAAGGCCTGGGTGGATGTCCTCAGCTGCTTCCTGGGCTTGCTCAGTTGATGGATTAGCCACACACCAGGCCCTGGAGTCTGTACCTCTCCTTAAGGAGCTGGGTGGGGGTAGTGGGCACTGGGCTTCTGTCTCAACATCATGCCTGGGAGGGCATCCTGGGTCGTCTGCTCCAGTCCCCATTGTTCAGACAAGGAGAGCCTCCTTATGGAGATCTGAATATTTCCCAATAAGAAGGTGGTTTTGGGGCCCACTTTGAGAGAAGGGTGTGGTGACCTTGGAAGAGGACAAGATGTGGAGCCAGACTTCCAGTCCTGGTCTGCCTTGCTGGCCTTTGGACCCCAAGCAGGCAGTTTAACTTCTGGCCTTCAGCCTCATTACCTGAAACCTGGGACAGTAATATCCATCTGCCTAAGTGGCTGAAAACTATAATATTGTATATACTCATGAACCATACAGCACAATATAGCTATCAGACACCATCTACCCAAACTTCATATTTTACCCGTGGACAAACTGAGGCACACAGAGGTAAGGTAACTTGCCCGCAGGAGCACGGGTAATCAAGGACAGATCAGGACTCTAATCTGGGTCCACCGATCTCTCTATTGTGTTCTGCTGTCTTCAAACTTGGAATAGACTGCTAGACATAAATTCCACAAGGGAAATCAAGCTAGCCTTGAGCCTCTTGCCCAAGGCCACTGTGCCACTAAGTCCGTGGTTGTTTGCCTTCTGCTCTGTCACTGTTCCTTCTTTAAACAATCGCTGAAAGCTGTTGGTGCCAGAGTCCCTGCAAGGCAGAGGGAGAAAGGGGGAGGCAGCTCTAGGGTCCCAAGGCCTGATAGGGACTCAGTAGCCGTTAAATTCAGAGATTTGGTTTTTTTTAACGTTTATTTATTTTTGAGACAGAAAGAGACAGAGCATGAACAGGGGAGGGTCAGAGAGAGAGGGAGACACAGAATCCGAAACAGGCTCCAGGCTCTGAGCTGTCAGCCCAGAGCCTGACGTGGGGCTCAAACTCACGGACCGTGAGATCATGACCTGAGCCGAAGTCAGACACTTAACCGACTAAGCCACCCAGGTGCCCCATCGGAGATCTTAATCGATGTCAGCACCTCCACAGGCCATGGTTTCAGACTGCAGCCCTTGGTCGCCTTGGCAATACAAAAGCGGTCTTCCATGGGGACACTGGTTTTCATACTAATGCATGCTGACACTGGGGGACTAGGTCAGAGCCCTGCACAGGTCAGAGATCTCCTTCCTTCTAAAGAGGAAAACCCCAAGTAGGGGGTGAAGTGTAGCTTTTATTTAGGGGCTCATGGATGTGGGTCAGGAGAGACAGAGGAGGACCATCCAACACTGAGGTCAGTAGGTTGAGGGGTCCAGAGAAGAGATTAGTACTGAATAGAAAGAAACACCCAGTTCGGTCTACTCTGTAGGGAAAAACCCAGCTCTCCTCTACCATTTCTTTCTCTCCTGTGTGTCTCCTTACTGCTCACACAGGACACTTTACTTCTGACACTTCTTATCACCACACGGGTGAAGGCTTTTCCCCACACCAAGCAATTCTGTGACACCAGCTGGGTGTCCTGCAATTTAACTCTATTCTGACACCATCTATCTGGAGAGAGCATCAGATCCCTCAGAGTAAGGGCTAGTCCACAGGCCTGCCCCCCACTTCAGATGTCAATCACAAGTAGCAGGCCCCCAGGCTCCCACGACTTCTGTCTGATTTGGCTATGTTGGGGAGCAAGAATTTCCTGCTGCCTTCAAGGGTCCTTCTAGCTGGATGAGGAATCATATTGATGTGAGACAGATGAACAAGAGGAAATCAAACGTAATAGTGTATAGGGGCGCCTGGGTGGCTCAGTCGGTTGAGCGTCCAACTTCGGCTCAGGTCATGATCTCATGGTTCGTGAGTTTGAGCCCCTCATCGGGCTCTGTGCTGACAGCTCGGAGCCCAGAGCTTGCTTCCAATTCTGTGTCTCCCTCTCTCTGCGCTCTTCCCCTGCTTACACTCTGTCTCTCTCTCAAAAATAAATAAACATTTTTAAAACATTTAAAAAATTATTTAAAATAATCTTCGTGTCAAACTGGCCCATCTTGTTGGTGGCTTGCGTTGGCCCCTACAGTTACAATTTGGAGGTTCCTACTAGCACCTCCTCACGTTCAATTACTTTGCTAGAGAGGCTTACAGAACTCCAGGGAACACTTATGTTTACCAGTTTATTAAAGGGTCTGATAAAGGATACCGAAGAATGGTCAGATGAAGCACGTTCATGGGCAAGGTCTGGGAGGGTCCCCAATGCATGCTGGAGCTTCTGTCCCTGTGGAGTCAGAGTGCATCACCCTCCTACTGTGCCTGCATTCACCACCCTGGAAGCTTTCCAAACCCTGCACCATTGGGATTTTATGGAGGCTTCCTCACACAGGCATGATCCGTCATTTACTCCATTTCTAGCCCTCCTCCCTTCTTGAGAGAATGGGGTGGGGGAAGGTGAAAGTGCCAAGATTTTAATCATAGCTTGGTCTTTCTGGGGACAGCCCCCATCCAGGAGCCATCCAGGAGCACGCCCAGAGTTGCCTCAATAGAACAAGACAGTCCCATCACCCAGGAAATTACGAGAGTTTCAGCAGCACTGTGTCAGGAATCAGAGGCAGACACCAATATATATTTTCTATCTTGTCATAAGTACCCACCCAGCCCATAGGCAGTTAGGAGGGGTAGGTTACCGGCTGGCCAAGGGCTATCCTGCAGAATCCACACACTTGCCAATGGGCCCCTGCCTGGCCAGTGAGGATAAGGAAAGTGTGGGTTTGGGGTTCTTCGGCATCAACTCCTTTATCCCTCTTTCAAGCAATGTGGAGGTACACGAGGGGTTTTGTAAACATTACCTCATGTAATCTGATGAGATAGGAATTATTTTTGTTCAATTTTTTTAATATTTATTCATTTTTGAGAGAGAGAGAGAGAGAGAGACAGAGTGTGAACAGGGGAAGGGCAGAGAGAAAGGGAGACACAGAATCTGAAGCAGGCTCCAGGCTCTGAGCTGTCAGCACAGAGCCTGACACGGGGCTCAAACCCACAAACCAAGACATCATCACCGGAAGTGTCCAAAGTCGGACACTCAACCAACAGAGCCACCCAGGCCCCTTAATAGGAATTCTTTTTATTCACGAATTATAGTGGAAAAACAGGCTCAGGAATTCTTTTTATTCACGAATTATAGTGGAAAAACAGGCTCAGAACAGCTTAGCAATTTAGCAGCTCAACTATTTATTTAGCAACTTGCTCAAGATCAAACAGGTAGTGAGAGGTGGAGTCAAACCAGGTGGGTGTGTGGTTCCATGGCCCCCAGCTCTCTCCCCTCCTGGTGGTGAGAAAAAGAGAGGAATCCATGCTAGCACAGTGGGGCAGCTGGGCTGGTCCATGGAGAACCAGGCTTTTGAAAATGAGAACCCTGAATCCGTTTTGTGCTGTTAGAGTTGGACACCCTTCTATGTTCCCCAACCTCACCAACAGTGAAGTAGCTCTGGCATGCAGGTCAGTTTACATAAGAATGAACATTTCTCTCACTTTAAGTAAAGCAAGAGTTTGCACATCCTGCTGAAGCAGGCCCTTTCTGCAGGCAGCCTACTGGCTGCTCGGAAGGCACTAGAGAGGGCAGAGGTCACATTTCACATTTAGCCGCCTTGAAAACGCAGGCTTGGCCCTGGCACTGGCTATAGTGACAGATAAGGTGGGGGCTGACCCCAGGCTGCACCTCCAAGCCCAAGCCAAAAAGTACAGGGACTTTCCCCTCCCCTGTATGAGCGCACCTTTCCAAATGATGGCAATTGCTGCCAGCAGTTAGGTGATGAATCAGAAAAATGTTTTTCCATGAACTTTATCAGAAAAAAAAAAAGCCCAACATTTTCCTGGCAAAATAAGATAATTGTGTCAGGGGGTGCTAACATGCTGAAGCAACACGGGAGAAACGCTGAAGTGACTTTGGCCAGTTTGATCAGCTGGGATCCTACTCTGTTTCCTTTCCCGTCCTGGAGAAAGGTACAGGCAAGGTGGTTCCATGGGCAGGGTCGGGGTCAGAGGGAGGCCCATAGCCCAGGCCTTATTCTCCCCACCCCCAGGTTTGCACATGGAGGGTCCCTGGCCGCCATGATGGATGAGACCTTCTCTAAAACTGCTTACCTGGCTGGAGAGGGGCTGTTCACACTAAGCCTCAACATCAGGTTCAAAAAGTAAGTATGAATCCTTGAGATGTCAGCCAAAGTCACACCTTTTTTTATCACTGAGGGCTGGCCATTCTCAGTGTTGGGTGCAGGAGCCCTGTCTGCCACTCTCCTCCCCCAGTTGCTGCTAAGCTGTTCCTCTAGTCCCTGGCCAGAGCACAGCCTCTCCCATCAGATTCCAGGAGCCTGCAAATGGGCCCTGAGCCCTGGGCCACTTGTTTCTTGGGGCAGGGTGGGTTGAAGAGAAGGATGAAGTGAAGAGGAGTGAAGGGATGGTGGCCAGGGTTAGGCTGGGCTAAGCCACATGACGGCTGGGCTAAGCCACACCCTCTTTCAGTTTGATCCCTGTGGGCTCTCTGGCTGTGCTGAATGTTGACGTGGAAAAGATCGAGGACCAGAAGCTTTACATGTCCTGCATCGCCCAGAGTAGGGACCAGCAGAGAGTCTATGCCAAGTCCTCAGGTAAGGAGGTTCTCAGCCTCAGCCCAGACTCTGTCCTGCCACCATCACCCTCAGGACAAATGGAAGGAAGAATACTGAGGATCCAGTCCCAAACTGAGGTCCAGCTTTTTAGAGTGGGAATGGGCACCTGCTGTAGACTCTGATGAAATGAGGGAGAACCCGGCTAGGATTTTTTTTTTCTATGTATGAGTGGCCGGACCTGTACCACAAGGACAGGATCGGGTACTAGATAACAGGATGCAAATGCTCCGTGCACCACATCCAGCTCCTGCCACAGCTTGCCCTTCTCCTGCAGGTGTTTTCCTTCAGCTGCAGCTGGAAGAGGAATTGTCCCAGTGACAGTCACTGTGCCTGCTCAGGACCCACTGCAGAGCAAGGAGGTGTCTCCAGGAAGTGACGGGTGAGATGAAGAAGAGGGCACTTTCCTCTGAGTAAATAAAGATTCACAACTCCTTCTCAGGCTAAGACCTTTCTGTAGTGGGAAGCCAAGATCCTGCCAGCACCCCCCACACACCCACTTTCCCATCATCACCAACCAAGAGATTTCTTCAGCACCTGCACGTCGAGGCTCTGGGTGAGGCACCGAGCACACAGTAACGAGAGGCAAAGACAGAGCCCCGGTGCTGAGGTGAACAACAGCAGGCCACAAGCAGGGGGGCCTCAGCTCCTGCCACCCCACCCTGGCTCCTGCCGTGGATGCAGTACAGACACAAAGGGAGGGGTCAATTTCACTCTATAAAGGAGATTAAAAAAAAAAAAAAAACACTTTCTAGAGGAAGCAGTGCTTAAACTGAGTCTCAAAACTTGAGTGGTGTTCACCAGGCAAGCAAGGGAGGGGAGGACTCTCCAGGCAAAAGGGATAGTAAAAGCAAAGGAATGGGGTAAAAGGGCAGAGTGACTTTGGAGAAGAGCAAGGTTTTGAGTAGGGCAGGAGTTTAGGGAAAGAGAAGGGGGCAGGGCAGGAGCAGACCATGGAAACCTTCCCAAACCCGGCTAATGCAACTTGAACTTTGTCTTGTAGGCAAAAGGAAGCTTTTAAAGGGTTTAACGTGGAGGCCGGCAGGGGGCGGACATAAAGTTTTGTTTTTTAGGAAGACGACTCTGGTGGCAGTAAAGGGGGAGTCAGCAAGCCTGACGGTGGGAACACTGGCTAGGAGGCCCCTGCAAACCCCCCAGCTAGAGATCGGAAGGCTCTGTCGTGAGTCAGAGCTTTGACAATGAGAGAGATGGAAAATGTTACACACACAAGAGTGTGAGACTTTGCCACTTATTATATGTACTGGATTTGTGAAGAAGAATCTTCCAGAATGACTCCAAGTTTCTGGCCTGGGGATGGCGGGTGGCCTTGCTGGGAGAACAGAGGAGCAGTTCTGAGGTGGGGGTAGACAATGAGTTAAGTTTCTCACACATTGAGCCTGCCGTGCCTGTGGTACTTTTGCCACGTGGCAAGCACCAGCAGGAACCTGGATGTTGTGGTCTGGAGCTGAAGACTGGTGAACAACTGACTCGGTTTGTAAGTCATCAATATGAAAACTGACACAGGACAGCTGGGAGAGAAGTCTACAGAGTGATGGGAGGGGAGGGGAAAGAAATGAAGGATAGGGAAGGGCTCAGAGATAGAACCTTTGGTCACACAAAGGGTTAACATTGGGGCAGAGGACCAAAGAGCCACTAGAGGCCTAAGATAGGACAGGAGTGACTATTCTGAAGAGGGAGAGGTCAGCAGGGTCAAATGCTTAAGAGAAAGCAAGACAGATGAGAACTAAAAACAGTCCTTTGCCTTTGGCAGTAAGGAAGGTGAGGTCTTCTTTGCCGGAAGGTGGGCACAAAATCCAAATTATGTTGAATGAAAAATGGATGGAAATGACAAAGTGACTCTAGATGATTCTTTCTAAGAATTTTGTTTGTTGCTGTTGTTGTTGTCAATGTTATTTAAAGAAAGAGGGTTGAGTGTATTTATAAATTGCTTTGGAAGGAGCCGGTGGAGAGAGGCTGAAACTCTAGGAGAGAGGCATCATCCAACAGAACAGCTGTCTGGTCTTAGAGATGGATCAAGAGCACAAATGGCAACAGCATCAGTGACTCTGATACCAAGCAGGATGGGAGGTTGAGAGGATTCACACCAGAGCACCTCAGCTTCCTCGGTGAAACAGGAGGCAAGGCCATCCGTGGGGAGAGAGGTCTGGAGGAAGGGCAGTGATTGGGATAGGCCACTGTGGGGATCAGGAGAACAAACCAACCAGGTCCATGTGGGCCAAGGCATGCAGAAGGCCCAGGTGCTGATGGAAAACAGGGAAGTGCACTGACCTGAGGTGAGGAGAAGGCGTGAGCCAGCTGGCAAGACCACGGGACAATGGCTGATAAATCAGGTGAGGAAACAGTGGTAAAGGAGAAAAGAGAACATGGCCAGAGTAATGGTCTGACATGGAGAAGATTACAGACAGGGGGAGGCACTAGTCATCTAGGAGAAATCAGAACCTCCATCTGAGCTACAGATGAGAGAAGTGGAAAACCGAGCAGCCTCCTCAGGGATGGCAGGATTCTGTTAAGACAACTGGGTGCAGGGGATGCCCAGGAAGAGGTCAAGGACTCGAGAAGTTTTACCAAAGAATGAGAATTCCAAAGGGCATATCACAAATGATTGTTAATTATTAGGTGTGGTGAAGCCAAATACTAAAACAGGTAAACCTTTACAGCTCCATAGCACAACCCATATCTTAAATAGAATGGACTTCTTACGCACATAAAGTCCAGTTGTTGGTGTATAGGAGTCATTCAGGAATCTGGCTGACAAAAGTTCTGCCATATCCAACATATAATTTCCAGACTCATCCTGGGTGTTGATATCCAGTTACCAGATGGGAGAGGAGAGAATCACAAGGGAGGTGTTTGGGGGCCAAGCTTCAAGGTATTTCCATTGCCAGAACTCAGTCATGAGGCCCCAATAAACAGCAAAGGGAGGTTGGTTGGAGAATATGGTCTAACTATATGTTGTGGAAAAAAGAGAAAAGGGATTGGTGAGTAGCCAGCAACTACTGTCTCAGTCTGAGAGGAGGATCATCAGAGAAACAAACAGTCTACGCCCAAACCCTTATCCTGGCAAGTGAAGAATTCAAGTTCAGGCCTAGGCTGAGGTTCCAGGATCTGGGGCTGGGGCTGGGGATTCAGGGGATCAGAGAGAATGGACCCTTTTGTGGCATGGAACAGGGCCAGAGAGTTGTACACAAAGTCAGCAGTGGTGGGGAGGTAAGGAAATCAGGTTCTCTTTCTAGTAATTAGACCACACACTTTCTAAGCCACCAATCTTGAATAATGGGTCAAAGATTGGTGGACCTAGATTTGAAGGGCCTTGACCCAGTGGCCCTCAAAAGCTAGAGTCATACCAGAGGCCATAGCCAGAAATCTCGTGGCAGCCAACTTTCCACCCCCCCCCCCATATATTCACATCAAAACCCTATTTTTCTGTGTTTACAGTTGCCCTGATAATCTACAAACACAGTGCATACCAAAAACTTGATGGACTTGATGGACCTGTATTCACAGTCAAGGAGAGCCTATTTGTCATTAAAACACTTCCAGTCAAGGAAAAGAATAAAAACAAAATAGTTGTACTTAAGTTTCCATCTTAAAATAGATTAGATGCATCTGATACTTCTAAAAGAAACAGGTAGAAATCTACAGAGGTGGGAAGGCCCCACAACCTGTCTGAGAGTGTCAGGCTTCACTGGATAAGACCAGGAGGGTGAGCAGGGACACTGGTAAGTGAAATGTTGTCATCATCTCTAGGCTCTAGGGCTTTGACAAACACCCCTCCCCTCCAGGAGGCCAAGTTGTGCAGCTTTCTAGGCAGAAACAGGGGAGGTGCTGCCTCCACACTTAAAACAAATTTACCTGGAATGCAACTATTGTAAAAGTAGATGGAGTGGAATCGAACTGGCCATCCAGACAAACGTGGCAGCTTCTCCTGCTTACAGCAGAGGATATGTGTTCTCCAGAAGCCTATGTCAAGTGTCAAGAGAACTGAAGAGTAAATAAGACAGCTGTAAGAACAACCAGTTCAAGAAGGCAGGAGACATTGGGAGCTCATACCAGCTCTTGAAGAAGGGACCCCTAAGGCCTTCCCGGAACTGCAAAGCTAGATCATTCATCAAAGGTCCTGGGTAAGGAGCCAGAGCTATCAGACACAGTAGATCACCAAGCCCCTCACCTGCCAGCACCCGTAGTGAGCACTGGTGGCCAAGTTATGCTACCTGAGGCCACCCCTCAAGGCCATGGGACAGACAGCTTAGCGAGACCCAAAAGCCCAGAGAGTCCTGTAACTGTTGCCTGTCTACCCGGAGGAAAGGCCTGTGCCCTGCCTGCCTCTTCATCAGGCTTCAACCCAGATGAACTCTGTAATGCCCCGTCCTCCAGGTGTGCCTCTACAATGGCAGTGGCAGGAAAAAGGAGATGAGGGCCCTCAGTCACATGTAATGTCCCCCAGGAGCAGCAGTGATGGTGCTGGAGGAGGTGAGGAGGCAGCACTCTGGGCCTCATTCAAGGGAGTAGTTCTGCTCAAATCCAAAGACCTCTAGGGTATAAGAAAGAACAATGCTCTTTGAGACAGAAGATCTTGGCTTCTAGTCTCAACTCTGCTACTGTTTGGCAAATCATTTCTTTCCAGGTCTGATATCTTACTGTTCTCATTAAGTCATCTTATGACTACTCAGTGTGCCAGTCATTTGTTTGATGGCTCCCAGATCCCCACCCCTACCCTACTCTGCCTTAGATTGTGCAGGGCTAGTGCATACAAACTACAGTTCCCAGTCTCCCTTGCCACCTCTCTTTGAGAGGCCCTAGTGGCCGACTGGAAGGCGGAAAGTAGAAAGAAGTAAGGGTAGTTCTCCCCTTCTCTTTGCTTTGAAAGGTGACCCAAGTAGTGCCTGTGTCTCCATGGTTCCAGATCCTGGTAGACAGTCCTCACCATCCTATTTGCCTTCTTAGCTTCTTCAATACCTTTGTAACAAGTTCCCTGTGTTAAAACTCCCTCTGTTGAACTACCCAGCAAGTGCTGTTTTCCTCACCAGACCCTGACGGATACAGCCAGGCTGTGGATTATTTGTAATCAGTTCTCAGTCCCCACACTGTGCAGCCCAGGTGGTGTGCACTCTTATATGCACCCCTGATTTCATCCACCAAAAGAAGGAAATGGAAGGAGAGAGGGAGCCGGAAACTGAATCGTCAACCACTGAGCAACAGTCCTAAACCAAATCTCCGCCCATTTTCCCCCTACATCTGTACAGCTGAGCACAGCTACAGAAAAATCTTGCAGCCATGCTGCCCGGTCTCAGCATAAAGTCATGATTGCTCTCCTAAAGGCGAGCCTGCAGTACTACCCAGGACCCATCTTGCATTTTCCCTAGAGCATCCAGTCCCCTGTCCTCCTGGGTGACTGTTCCTTTCCTGGTCCCCTCTACTCAAACCCTAAAGCCACCTTCTCCTCCATCAATCATCACTCTCAGCTGGTGACCTGAGTAATTAGAAGCATTCGGAGTAAACAAGTTCCCACTGCCCACTCCTCCACCTTCTACCTCTATCCAGTTACTCTATGTTCCCCCCAGTAGCTGGGTGAACTGTTTACACAGCAGGCAAAGGACAATTCCCAGAATGATTTCTCACACACGACATCTATTTCTTCAGGAATATTGCTGCACCAATTCTCCTCTGTCTCTTCTACATTACCAATTTTCCCCTTCCTATGGGATCTTTCCCATCGGCATACAAACACACCACTATTTCTGTCATTTAAAATTTTTTCTCTTGATTCCACTCCCTCCCACCCCCGGCCACTACCCCATTCCCCCGTGCTCTTCTAGTAAATCCTTCAAGAGAATTGTTTTTGCTCTCTCTTTCCCCTAACCTTTCAGCAGCCCACTCCAACCAGGCTTTTGCTTCTGCCACCCCATTGAAACTGGTCTTCTCAAAGTCACCAGTGACTTTGCATTGCTAAATCCAGTGATCAATTCTCAGTCCTCACCTTACTGGATCTTGTCACAGCATCTGGCACAGCTGGTTCTCCTCCTCTCCCCTCTAAATATCGGCATGCCCAGGACTCAGTTTGAGTCTCAAGCCTCAGACCCTTACTCTTTTCTACCTACACTTCAAGTCTTGTGACTTTAAATTCCGTCTTCATTTCTCTTGGTGCCCACATTTATATTTCCAGTCTGGAACTCTCCTCTGAGTTCCAGGTTCATAAATCCAATTGCTTACCCAGCGTCTCCATTTAGATGTCTGGCACGCATCTCAAACTTAATAGATCCAAAGCTGAGCTCCTAAACTTTCTCTCTTCTCAGCAAATGATAACTCCATTCCTCCAGTTGTTCAGGCCAAAAACTTTGTATCGTTCTCTTTCTCTTCAGATGGGGATGGGTCCATTTATTGGCTTTAGCTTCAGAATAGATCCAGATCCTGAGTCATGCCCCAATCATCTTGAACAAAGATTATTTCAATAGTCTCCCATCTGGTTTCTCTAATTATGCCTTTATCCCCTTCATTTCGTTCTCAACACAGCTGCCAGAGCAACTCTTTTAATACATGTCAAGTCATGTCACTCCTCAGCTCATTATAAGTAAAAGCTAAAATTGTCACAGTGGCTATAAGCCCCAACAGCATCTGTCCCTGTTATCCCTCTGACTCCCTCTCTTCTTCACTCATTCTGTACCAGCTATGCTGGCTGCTTTGCCTCCTTGAACACTCTAGGCATGCCTCCGCCTCAGAGCCTCTCACTGGTAATTCCTTCTGCCCAGAATGCTTTTCCCTCAGATAACCTTCCTCTCTCCTTCATGTCATTTCTAAAATGTTCTCTTCTCAAGATGGCCATCCCTGACCACCCCATTTAAAATTGAATGCTCCTCTATAATCCTTTCCTACTCTTACTTTCTCCCCAAACACTGATTTCCTTCTAATAAACTGTACTATTTTTACTTTTTTTTTTTTTTCTATTATCTTTCTTCCTCCACTAAAGCATCAACTTCAGCTGGCTAGGAGATGTATCTCTTTTTTCACTGCTATATCCTCAAGTCCAACACAGTGCCTGGCACATGGTAGGTAGTCAATGACTGAATGAATGAATGAATGAGGCCACAGAATCAAACTTGTCTGAATCCTACCCCACACCTGGACTTCTTATTATAGAAGCAAAAAATGTCTTGTTGTCAAGTCCAGATTGAGTTGGGTTTTCTGTTTTCTTGTACTTTTAGCAGAAGTGAGCTGAACTGATGCCCACGTATTATCTGACTTAGTCCTCATACTAACTCTGAGGATTAGGTATGTTCTCTCTGTCTTCCAGATGGGAAAAATGAACCCTGGACAGATTAAGTTATATGCCAGAGATCACACAGCTAGTAAATCGCAGAGCTGAGATCCTCAACCCATCTGACTGATGCCAAAGCCATGAGTTCTTGGCTGCAGCACTCCATGCAGACCACCCTCCCGAGAAAGGACACCAGGGCTGAGCTGAGTGAGGAGCTAAAAGGTCTGGGTCAGTACTAAAGGGTCTGGGGCCACCAGGGACCTCCATAAAAGAAACACTTGCTCTTTCAAAACTCTCAAGTATCAGATGTTAAAATACCATCGTGTTTCCTGCATTTCACCATTTGTCTTGTTGTTGTTGCTTGCATCTTTATTGTCTGTCTCTCCCCTTAGACTGCCCCCCATTCTATATATCCCCAGCACATAACACAGTGAATGGAAGACTGAATTGATTCAGGTATAATTCTGCTTAATGTCATTAATTCATTCAATAAATCCTGATTAAGAACTTGCCTGTACTAAGCACTGTCCTCATGATGCTTACAGTCTAGTAAGACACTAAATAATCACATACAAAAATCACAGAGAAAAAAAAAACCTGTGACCAATGCCAGAAAGGAAAGGTATGGGGCACTGTGAAAGTATACAAGAGAAGTCCCTAATTTATTTTTTTAAGTTTATTTATTTTGAGAGAGAGACAGAAAGCCAGCACAGGAGGGTCAGAGAGGGGGAGACAGAGAATCCCAAGCAGGCTCCACACTGTCAGTGCAGAGCCTGATGCGGGCCTCTAACTCATGTACCAGGAGATCATAACTTGAGCTAAACCAGAGTCAGAGGCTCAACCAACTGAGCCACGCAGAAGTCCCTAATTTAGATGGAAGGCTGTCAGATCTGAAGGATGAAAGGGGGGGGTGTGGTCCTAGGGGAGGAAATAGCCTATGCAAAGATCCTAGGTAGGGAAAGAGCCTGACGCCTTCGAGAGACTGAAGGATGGTGGGTGAAACTGAGGGTCGCATCTTGCCAGTGGTGGCCTGTGCTTCCTAGGATCTGCTTGCGGGAGAGGGGAAGGAAAGGCGAGGCAGCCTCCATGTTCACAGTTTAACAGCCTTCTGCCAAAGACAGGGAGCACAGGACCAGCTTGAGCTTGGCCCAAGGACAGAAGGAGCTTTGTCGTCAGTGTCTCTATGTTCAGACATTTGGATCCTGGTCACTTTTCCTTGGGCCAGTGTAATTCAGAGAACTAGTCACAGAAAGTCACTCTGTCTGGGAAGCTATTGTGATGGCTCCAGAACTGCACAGGGTGTTGGGGGGAGGGGGAGGGGGTGGTCAAAGGATTCCAGCAAGGAAGGCTTTGCAGAATATGTGGTTTGTGTGATCAAGGTGATGGGTTTCACCTGGCAGGGCTAGGGTGTGGCCAGTGCAGCACACAGGGTGGTGGAGGCCACTGCCGATGATAACGACCTCCTCACTGCAGCCCTCCCAGGGGCGGGGGAAGCAGAGGAGGCTGGGGTCCCAGGACTGGCTTGCTGCTAGAAAGCTAGAGGAAGGAGTTAAGAAGGACGGGCTGATGACCGTGGAGACAGAGCTCTGTTTATCCAGGAAAAGAGGTCGTACGTAGGCAGCGGAGGCCCCTGCCAGCTCCTCCCAGAAGGACTGGGCTGGGGGAGCAAGCCAGAGAGGAAGCTACTCCCCTCCTGGCTCTGAACGCCTGCTGATCAGAGGCCAGGAACCGGCGGCGGCCTACAGGTGAGGCCTGCACCCCGGACGTCCGACGGAGCCTGCCATGGGCTCGGGCTCCCAGGCGGACGGCCGGAACGCTGCGTCCGCGGGTGGGGCGCGGGGGTGCGGTGAGCGAGCGGCAGAGGAGCCTCTGAGAGAGCCGCTCTGGGGGTGGCGGAGAATCAATACCGCCTTTGTGCTCAGTGGTTTCCTGGGGAGAAAAGGAGTGGAGAGTGGGAGTGGCGGCCCAACGGCCGGGCCCCGCCCGGCAGACTCGGGATGCGGCGGGGCGGGGAGGCTGGGAACGGGACAGTCAGGGCTTGGGGTGGAGGGGATTCTGTGTCCCCGAGAGGTGCATCTCCTTGGACGGCCCTGAGTGCTCACAGGACAGCGGCCAGGTGTGCAGCGAGTCCGCTTCTGGCCTCGAGCCGCTCGGAAAGGAGAGGGAGGAGCAAGAGGAGGCAGGTGGGGCTGGGGCCAAAGGATGGCTCAGTCTTACGAGGATTGAGCCCAGGAACGGGGAAGGCAGCCAAAGGGGACCCCGGACAAGATCTTGGAGGAGGGTCTGCGTCTTCAGGACGCGCGAGGGAGAAGGGGATGAGCTTGCCCAGGGCCTCTATGCCTCTTCAGGGGAGCAAGATGTACAAGCGGAGTTTGGGATCTGGGTCCGTGTTTGTGACTACAGACCTTTTGGTGATTCGAGAATGTCCCTCTAATTCTCCTAACAGTAGCTAGAGTTCTTTCTAGTGGTTATGTTGGGCCTTCTTCTCTTTTTTTTTATAAATTTTTTTCTAATTTTTTTTTCAATGTTTATTTATTTTTGGGACAGAGAGAGACAGAGCATGAACGGGGGGAGGGCAGAGAGAGAGGGGCCACAGAATGGGAAACAGGCAGGCTCTGAGCCATCAGCCCAGAGCCCGGCCGAGAATCAGCTTCTGGACCTTGAGATGGGTGACCTGGCTGAAGTGGGACAGCAACGGCCTTCATGCACCCAAGCCCCTGGGCCTTCTTCTCTTTAGAGTGAACACCGTTAACTTCTGCAGTCTGCATTTGCGAGGCAGCTGCATCTGAAAATCTTGATCTGACATCTCCATTCCCCAGACTCCAGGCTTCTGGCCCCATTTTTCCCGCCCAGAGAGGGGCCCGCTGGGGGGCAAGTGCTGAAACCCACCCGGTGTATGTTAGGAGCGTCACCACCTCAAGCCTCTTCTCTCCTCAGAAGGCCTTCCCTCAGGCAGCTGAAATTGCACCTTCTCGACCTGGCGAGATTGGTTCATCCTCACCCCCACTTCATGGCTCTTGGAGAAAGCCGGCTACAGGCTGGGGCCCCGAGTCCGGGCCCGATGGTATGGGTAACCTGCTCCCCAAAGCGCCGGCAGGGCCCGCCAGCACAGCATCCTAATCACCGTCTCTGACGCATTCCGCAGTTCATCCGCCCGGCTCCAGACCCAGCGGCGCCAGCCCCAGCTGGTGGCCTCCCCGCAACCTGTTCGCTGCCGCATGGCAGACCCGCGAGGCTGGGCCTTCCTGCCTGAGAGCCACTTACACTCATGGCGCAGGTCCTGTTCCACCCGCCGCCCCCTCCACGCCGCCAGGGCTGTCCCCAACGCACCCGGCTGCACGTATCCGCCTGCGCCTCTGCCGGACCCCCCGACAGCATTGACCTCGTCGCCCAGTCGTCGCCCTTGGGCTCTGCGCTTCCAGACCCAGCCGACCGCGGCCAGACCCCGGTGGCCCCGGCCCGCATCGGCCCCGGAGAGGGCGAGCTCCGCCCGCACCAGCCACGCGCCGCTGTCACTCTGGGGCCGCCGCTACACCCAGACTTCCCGTGCTGCTGGCTGCCAAGGAGAGCGTGCTGCGACCTCGCGCGCCCAGGCGAAGCCAGCTGCGGCCTCCGCCAATGCCTGGCAGACTGACTGCGCCTGCACCCTGAGTGAGCGCCGAGGGCCTGATCTGGGGCCGGGCCCGGGAGCGGCGGCGGCGGCAATATTGCGTGGTGCTGAGGCAATGTGCCGCGATCGCTGCGCAGGCCATGGAGCCGCGTGGTCCAGAATGCAAGCGCTCCAGCCATCTTCAACGAGGACTCTTCTTCGACAGACCCGCCAGACCTGGTGGCCCACAGTCTGAGGGGCCAAGGTGCTTCTAGACAGTGGCAGACTTCCATAGAGATATCCTGCTGGGAGGAGAGTGTGGACGCCTCTTATGGCCCTGCTGCCCCCCCTTGGGTGGGGAGCTGGGTCGAGGGGCCTCCTGAAGCGCCTGGCCATCTCAGTCCATAGGCTGAGAACCTGTCTTTTTTTTCCTCAGGAGGCCTCCCACTCAGTCTGCAGTATTGGTTCTTTTCAGGCTGCCTGGCCCATTTTTGCTAATAAAGTGTCTGCTTCCTAGCAGGGTTTCTTGGCACCCTATACTCTCAGATCTGCAGCCTACTCTTCCCTCTGCATGGCTGTACCAGGGATGGAAGAAGCTGGCGTTCACACTGAGTTGGAGCAGACCTCAAGAGTGGTGGTTCTCAAACTTGAATAAGCATTAGAATAATCAGACATCAGCAATGCTGAATGAATGATGTTAAATATGCAGACTCCTAGGCTCCACATCCCCAGAGACCCTGAAGCTGAGCGTTTCCCCAATAGGTCGAGACTCTGTAGGTCCTAAGATCCTGTCCAAAAAACTCCACCCCTCCTGGGAGACCTCCAATCACTGAGTCCTCCAGAAAAAAGCTCTGTGACTGAAACAAACATCAACCACCTCCCCTGCCCCCACAGTCCCCTATCTCCGGGGATTCCCAGCAATCACTCCACTCATCTCTCCCCCCTTGTACCCACATCCTGGCTCATGAAAGAATTATTTCTGTATCTTGATGAGTGAGTCAAAATTTATCAGACACAGTGCTGAGTTAGGTGTCTCTTGCTTATTCCTGTGCCATCCTAGGAGGTAAAGCAGGAACCGAGAGTCAGACCAGCACGTGGGGACTGAATGATGGAGATAAAATGTCCCAAGGATTCCTTATGGGAGGGTCCTAAGTGTGAGAGCACTTCTTTTTTTTTTTTTAATGTTTTTTAATTTATTTTTGAAGGAGAGAGAGAGAGACAGAGCATGACTGGGGGAGGAGCAGAGAGAGAGGGAGACACAGAATTCGAAGCAGGCTCCAGGCTTGATGCTGTCAGCATAGACCCCGACATGTGGCTCGAACTCATGAACCGCGAGATCATGACCTAAGCAGAAGTTGGATGCTCAACCAACTGAGCCACCCAGGCGCCCCGAGAGCACTTCTTAAGGATGCCCAGTGAATAGGGGGAGGGTGGGGATGATGGATAAATGTAGGTCAGATTCTGTCTACCTCCTACCTAAATGTCCCGATGTCAGCAGTGACCTTCTTCTCTCTCCACCTTCCCTGGAGTAGGTTCCTCTTGGCTCAGGCCAGGCTTAGAGAAAGAAAGGAGGGAGGAGGGGAAGAAAGGGAGGAAGGGAGGGAAGGAGGGGGGAGGAGAAGACACTGGGCCAACCAGCTTCTTTCCCCCTCCCCCTTGGGCCCTTTCTCAGTTTCCATGGTGCCCTGAATGGGGGCAGGGAGGGGCAGGAAGAGCCTGCTGGATCCTGATAGCCCTCAGTATGTGTAATGCTAACACAACACACACATACCTCCATTCAGATCGCCCAGATTCCTTCTCCATCCTCTGGTTAGGTACCCCCACCTGTTGCCCCAGCCCAAGACCAGTAAAATCTTGCTCCAGATGTCCACCAGGTGGTAGCATTGACCAGGCAATAATAAGTGCTAACAGCTACCAAGATTATCACCAAGCAAGGAACTGTTCAACAACTTGTCGACTCAGTTTCTTCTTCCCAGCAATTCCCAGGAGAGTTAAGTACTATTGTTATCCAATATGACCTTGGTCTTTACTCATCTACTGAGGAGTAAAGCTAGGATTTGAACCCAGAGAGTATGGCTTGAGTCTGGGCTCTTAATCCCCTCATTATCTAATATATAGGTGCCAGCTGCAAGTTCCCAACCAGGTCACTCTGAAAGGGGTCTCCTCCTGCCCTAGGATGACAGCACTCCAATTTTTTCAATCTGTGAAGTCACCCATGGGTCTAGCTCTGTCCTTAGAACTGTCCTACTTCAACCCCACCCCACCCCTGCCCCCATAATAACCTTTGGTAAGCAACTGCATTCAATGCCCAATTGAAAGTCCCTGGAAAGAAATGTAGAGGACTTTAACTTTCATTCCTGCATTCCTGCAATACAAGGTAGGGAGGCCCCGCGAGGTGCCAGGCAGTGATCAAAACAGACATGAGGTTCAAACAAGTTACAAAATGAGTAAGTAAAATGTAAAAAAAAAAAAAAAAAAAAAAAAAAAAAAAAAAAAAAAAAAAAAAAAAAGTTATTTGGTAAGATAGAGAAAAAGAAAGCAGGAAAGGGGCATAGAAAAGGGGAGTCACTGGGGCGCCTGGGTGGCTCAGTCGGTTGAGTGTCCGACTTCGGCTCAGGTCAGGATCTCACAGTTTGTGAGTTCGAGTTCGAGCTCCGTGTTGGGGTCTATGCTGACAGCTCAGAGCCTGGAGCCTATTCCAGATTCTGTGTCTCCCTCTCTCTGCCCCTTCGCTGCTCGTGCTCTGTCTCCCTCTGTCAAAAATGAATAAACGTTAAAAAAAATTTTTTTAATTAAAAAAAAAAGAGGGAGTCAGATAAAGAGAAGGGAGGACTATAGGAATGGAAAGAGAGAGGGATGGACCAAAACATCTTTTGTTAACCACAGTACTTTGTACCAGGTCTCGTGTCTTACCTGTGTTATCCCAGTAATCATCACAACCGCTCAGTAAGGTAGTTATTGTTTGTTAGTCCCATTTTCCTGACAGGCAGATCAGGGAAAAGCCAGGCTGCAGGGAAGGTTTAGGACCCTGGCTCCACCAGATGCCCCACCCCACCCTGCTGCTCAGAGGCGGCTGTGAGGTGGGAATTCACAGAGCAATTCACTCAGTTCAAAGCTGTCAGCCGGCCCCTGTGATGGGGGCCACAATGTCCCTGGAGAAACTTCCTGGCCAGCTAAAGCCACAGAAACATGCCCTAGGACAAATCAGGTCCTAAGAACCCCTCTTGTGTGCACACAGCTGGGGCCTCAAAGCCTCCAGGACAGTTATTGTTGTCCCCTTTTTACTGATGTGGTAACTGGAGACCAATAAATGGCAGGCCACCTTCTTATCCAAGTCTTTTGGCTCTAAGAACCAGAGCTCCTGCCTTTCAAGCCTCCTTGCTGCATCCAAACCTAAGTGACCACAAATGTTAACTGACAGATGAGTGATACAGGCAGGGTCACCATAGAAAGTTCAGGGCCAGGAGCTGGGGTCAAACTCCTGCTGTTCCCTCCACCCACAGTGGCCTTTGTGACAGGAAAGGGGAGGGGTGGAGGCTGTGAGATCTACAGATGTTTATAAAGCACTGGTTGTGCTTCTTCTAATGGTTTGGGGAGGAGGAGGGACAACCCCCTCCTTGGGTCACTCCAGTGGGTTGGTGGGTTGAGGTCTCCCCCACCCCCACCCCCCGCCCCGCATGGACCTCCTAGAGAAGACCCAGGAAAGGTTGTCCTAATCAATGAATCAGGCTTCCCAGAGGGGTGGCCCTTGGAGGATGGGGCTGGGGTAGTATGTGGTCCGCAGCCTGCCCAGGCCCCACATATACTTTCCACCTCCACACCCCCAGGCACCCCCCTGGAAGGGCAGGCTCGCACTGAGCTTCAAGTGGTTTCTGTGGCTTAGGGGGTGGGGGGGGAGGGAAAACAAGTTGGTGACTGCTCTCCAGTTCCAAGCCACCACCACCACCACCCTCCACCCTCTCCAGGCTGCTTGCTGGCCCCCTGAGTTGAGATTCCCCAGCCTGATAAGGGAACTTGGGCACGTGGGGGGGGTGAAATGATTCTCAGATCCCTATCAGCCTCTTCCTTGCATAAGAATGTAAGAATGCATCGGAGGAAAAAACCACTGCCTGATTTGAAAGGACTGATTCCTCCAGAAAAAGGGGCTGTGATTGGAGCAGGAGGGAGGAAGGTTAGGCATGGGCTGGGGGGGGGGGGGGACTTCCAAAAGGATGACCATGGTACCTTCTTGCCCTAGGGAGAAAGAGCCCCAGGCATGTATGCTTAGGGCAGGGAAGGAGTAGAGACCTGAGAGTGTCCAGGAGGCACGTGACTCACAAAGACCCAGAGGCCAGGACCCTGTCTTCCCGACCCCCGACCCCCTGCACTTCGTCCTCACCCCGCACAGTGGCACAATTAGCATGGCTAGGAGAGACAGCCATGCCTGTAGTATCTGGGGTGGGCAGGACCACCTGGCACAGTGCCAGGGCCTCCACTCTGTACCCACAACTGGGATGTCAGAAAAGACCCTGGGAGACCCAGAGTCACAGAGGAAGAGAGGCTGAAAGAGGAGAAAAGATGGAGAGGTACAGAAGACAGACCCATAGACAGGGAGGAACTGGCAGGGAGAGACACAGATAGAGGATCCTGAGTGGAAGCAAAGCCAATCACTGGGCTAGGAAGTGGGGAGCAGTCCAACACGACCCCAGCCCTCCCCTGCAGCCCTGTCCCTCAGCCTCAGGCTGGCTCCTCCTGTCTGCCAGGGGGCACTGGGTGCTTTGGAGAGTTTTGCCTCCCACTCCAAGCCTGCCCAAGGGGGAGAGCCCCCAAAGCAGACCAGCATCCTGTTCTGTGCAAAGAAGTATATTTAGAGGCATAGACCATGCATTTACCAAAAGGACACGGGCTACTCAGAGGCACAGGCACACACAGTCAGACTCTCAGCATGAGAAGGTCCCCAGAAGAGTCCACTCCATTCCTCCTCTCTCCCTATCCCCTTGCCCACTATCCTAGGAGTTGGGGAGTCCTCTACTTTTAACCTTTGTCCCTCAAGCTGCAGCCATTGGGAGACACTGGGGGGCTACCCAGGAATGGAGGTGCTGATGGTAGCAAGAGCGTGAAGCCTCCAGAGTGGGGCAGGAGTGGAGAAGGGCACGGTGGGGGGGCAGGAGAGGGAAAAGACAGCTGCCTGCCCTCTCCACGCCAGGTGCCACGTGCTGCGGCGTGGCTGGCCCCCACTCTGCTGTTTACCAGCTGGGAGTGAGAGCAGGGGGAGGTGCCAGGGAGCCGCCCCACTGCAGCCTGGCCCCTGGCCAGCCGGCTTGTTGGGTAACCAGGAGAGCCAGGCCCAGCTAATCAAACTCTGGAGAGAAGTGGCATCCAGGACCTGCTCTGCCCCGAGGCCCCTCTGCAGGGCCCTTCCTCAGTGC